ACACGCTCAATGCGCATTGACTCACAGTCTGATCGGCGGTTCAAAAGCGACAACTATGATGTGTTTGAGTTTAGCCCTGATGGCTCCTCGGGAAGAGACGTAGAGATACTGAACTTTAAACATGACTTCACCAACGGCCTTTTTCGATTTGACACTGTGGCACTGTATGTGCACAATACCAAAACGTTGATGAGGAATCCCAATGTACGCTACATCTTCTACAAGTACAACGGGGTGGTCAATGGTCACAAGGAGTACAATGAAACTGAACTGATCACCTCAGACTGTGTTAATCTAAAGAAGTGCTCGCAGTGTCAACCGCAAACGCCCGAGTTCATTTACATGCCATCCTGGGACAATCTAATTCTGACAGGCATTTTCAATGTACACTTGCATTCTGAGCAGAATCCACTCATTTGCCAGAAAAACTTTACCCTCGTTGAGAGTGTACAAAATGTAGAAGCATTTCTCTGGACAATTGACCTAATCAACAATGATCCACACGTTCTCCCGGGCGTCCACCTGGGCGCTCTCATTTTTGACTCCTGCAACAGCTATCAGAAAATTTACCGTGACATTTCCAACTTTCTAAGCAACTCTCTTCTGCTCGGCGATAGTAACGTTCAGATTCCAATGGCCGATTCGGTGATGGGTTTTGTTGTGGATGGCAAGAACACTAAAATTGTTGATTCCATACTCGACCTGACAGCGCCGCTGAAAATTTCCGTACTGACGACGGAAGCCAGAGAAAGCAAATATAATGATCTAAAGCACTACCCTCAGTTTCTCGGGTTTTCGCTGCCCAACAAGTTTCACGTCGATGCCATTTTCAACATTTTGCGCAACTATTCGTGGACATTTGTCTCTGCCGTTTATGAAAACAACCTCAACGAGCAGCAATATTCAGACGCTTTCGAGTACTTTAGCAGCAGTGCAGAAAAACATGGCGTTCGTTTGGCGGTACAAGAGCTGTTTGATGAGAGCAATTTAGTGGAAAGTGTTGCCAATCTCAAGTCAATGGCTACCCTTGGAGCACGAGTAGTTGTGCTCTTTTTGTCACCGGAAAACTTGCGAAACTTTCTCTATTTTAACGAAATGGTCAAAAGTGGTGACCAAAACAAACTGTTGCCATCCGATGTACTCTACATTGTCATTGACTCGCAGAACGTTTTGCAAATATTTTCACATCTAAACATCAGTGCCATCAGCGTGTCACAAGACAGAAAAATTGTGCCCGAGTTTCAGGAGCACTTTCTCGACCTGTCACTGCAGACTAATGTAAAGAATCCGTGGTTCACCAGACTGTGGGAGAAGGTATACGGTTGCGAAGGCTTTGGCTGCTACCGAACAAGTGGCAGTTTGCGACAGCGTAATGTAACTATCAACGAGAAAACGGGCGCCATCATCAACTCTGTCTACACACTGGCCCATTCACTTGAGCTGACCAGACAGAACCTCTGTCCAAACACCTTCAACGGCTTGTGCCGAAACTTTGTGTCACACTTGAGGCAAGTCTCCAAAATGGAACACGACGCCGTAAAGGAGAATGAGTTTGTAGGCCTTGATGGCAGTCGCATTGCCTTTGATCACGACTCAAACTACATCACCGGTCACTTGAATGTCCTCAACTGGCAACAGGTGGACAAGTCAGGCACCCGTACCTGGGTTCAAGTGGGACACTTTGATGCGGAAAACGGCCTGCTCATGGCTAGCTCAAAGACGAGAGCTTACCTCGCCCACGGCTCAGCGGCAAGTGGAGTCACCTTCTCTAAAGTGGTCTCACAGTGTCAGGCGTCCAACAGCAAGTGCTCAAAGGTCAACGGCGAAAATGGCGGCAGTGCTGGGCCAATTTTGCCGCCTTTTATGGGCGCCACTGAAGAGTCGCGTGCAAACATTGCCCTGGTAGTGCCGCTGCATGAAACGGACGGCAATTCAAAGTGCGGCCCCATCAACTCGGAAATGTTTGAAAAGTTGATGGCTTTTCAGTTTGCCCTCGACCAGTCGCCAGTTCACTTGGGAGTCATTGTGCTGGACAGTTGCAGCTACAGTAAACAACACCTGCAACAATTGGCCTCGGCGCACAACTACAAGTTGCTGCCTAAAATAGTGTCCATAGTCAACTTGCTCGAAGCAAATCACCTCAATTTGACCATCAGCAATCAACTGTTCAACATGATCGGCGACTACAGTCCACTGGTGTACAATTTGTTTAAAGCCAAGGCGGCTCAAGAAGCAGACCGGCAGAGCTTCTTCTTCAACGAAAAGTCAACAGCAAACGAAAATGCGAATCACATTTTGCGCTCCATCGTCGACCTTTGCAGTCGCAGCAAGTGGCCAGTAGTTAATTTGGTGTACTCTAATGAGTTTAGCAAAAACTACTTTCTATTTGAAGCAAACCAGAACAATATTTGTGTTGACAAGACCATGTCTGTAACTTTGAAAGACATTGCCAAACCACAGTTTAGAAGTGATTGGGCGACTTTTACCGCATCACTTGACTCTCAGATTACTGTTGTGCTCACCAACGCCGACCTAATTGAATACTTGATCAAGTACTCGGACAAAGAAACATTAGACCGCATTGTGTGGGTTGGGGATAAGAACCTCAAAACGGGTGCAGATAATGTTCGTAAAAGTTTGAAAAAGAGTTTTCAAAATATGGTTACTGTGAAGAAGGTAGCCACTTCGATTGATTCAATGCCAGTGGCCTCGGTCATTGATGGTCTGTCGAGCTACTTTGACGTGAACAACGCCAATGCACGCTCTCGCAGCAAGGCAGTAACAAACTGGCTTTACGAGTACTGGCATCGCAAGTTTAACTGTCTGCTCAATGCAAAGAAACAAGAAAAGGCTTGTTTTGAAGTGAAAAATGCCCGAAAAGCTCTGAGCAATACACAAGAACTGAAACACGTCATTGATTTTGCACAAGGTATGACTTCTTTTTATTGTTTAATGCAAAATTATTACAACATTTTTTATCTAGTTTTATCCAAATCAATTTCCAAGTTTGTTACTGGAAAGTGCAACAGCAGCTCTGATGATTGCATCTACAATGTTCAACTGCGAAATGAACTGAAGAACAGTTTAATTGATGATCTAAATAAGAACAACTACCTGAATGACATTCGGAAGGTCAATGCTGAATCGAACTATCAGGTGGAGGTAGCCTCCAACCACGGTGCCACACTGAACACCTTTACCTCTTTCAATCTGATGAATGTCTCCAGTTTGGTGGCCACAAATCTCAGTGATGGCCAGAGTGTGCTGGTCAGTGCTGTTTGCCGCTCTAGCTGTGACTACTGTCGTACACAGCTGTTGCAGAGCAGAAATCGAAGCAACCACCTACTTTCGTCAGGTTTGTTTGTTACCGTTTGAGAAAATTGTTTGCAGTTTAATTTGTTTTTATTTGCCTCTACAGATAGCTTACAATCTCCACTGACGAGCAACATGTCCGCCCACCGAACCTGGGCAATTGCTGCCTCCATTTTCTCAACCCTTGGTCTCATTGTGGTGCTCATCTGTGTCCTCTACTTTATTCTCATTTTTCCCATTGCCCTTGGAACCACTATTATTGGTTACCAAATTTTGGTCGGCCTTTTTCTTTGTTACTTGGCCAACTTTGCCTATCTACTGCCAAGCACCAATAGCTTGTGTTGGGTTCGAGAGTTTGGTATGTTGGGCTGCAAATGTTGCTTTTATGCAAACTTACTAATTGAACAATTCTTTTAGGTTTGCCAATAGCTTACTGCGTCATTTTGAGTGGACTGTTTGTGAAGGTGTACAATTACTGGTGCCAAGTGCTGATGAAGAAAAGCACCAAGCCGTTGGCCTACAACTCGCCCATGACTCTACTCTCCATTTCCTTTCTTTTTGTGGTCATTCAGGTGTCTCTAATTGCATTCTTCACGTACAAGTACCCAGGCAATTACAGTGCCTTTGCCAACACTCTGTTGTGCAGTTCCAATACCAAGTTTGCTCTCCTTCGACCTGAAACCGTCCTGCCTCTGCTTCTCCTGGCATTGCTATTTATTCTGACACTCTTCTTTTCTGTTAAGACCATTGATAACCTTGAATCAAGGTGGATCCTCATCTGCTCTGCGCTTAGCGCACTCACCTGGCTTGCTTGGATTGGTTTTGATACCTTATGTAAGTTGTCAATATTCAACTCTTTTCAAGTTAAGGTTTAATGTTTTATTTATCTATAGATCGCGATGCAAAGCCGATATCTATTGTAGTAGCGAACATCATTGTGGCTACTCTTTATATTGTTCTGCTGTACATTCGCAAGTTGTATCTTTTTTCAAAGATATCGAGAAAAATACTGAAGGAACGACGAGTGAACATGGACGCCAATTTACAGTACGAACCATTTGCCGAGTACCAGCAGCAACAACAATATGGAGGTAATTTTAACGTTTAAAGTGAACACTTGTCCATTGTTTGCTAATATGTCATTGTTTCCCTGACAGCATTTCGAAGTTGCACTGAAAACATATCTTGGAGTAATATTCAAGACAAAGCCAACTATCGAAATGCTACTCGATCACCGTTTGAAGGTGACACTGAGGGTGACAACGTAAGCTCGTGTGGTTCAGTCAAGTCGAATGGCTCATCGCAAGTGCAGTGCCAAGAACTGTACCCAATGGAGGTGTACGACAATGCTGGGCAAAACCAACTGGTCAACCAACAGTCGAATGCTCGGGTTGGCCAAAGTACTCGCTCCATCTATGATATTATCGATGATGCCAGCTTCAAGTAGCCAAATACGCTGCATCCTCTCTGGTCTTTGTTTTTTCTGGTCATCTTTTGTTATTGCCATGTTCAATACTGTTGTGATATATTTTGACAATAAACCAAATATTTTTTTACAATGTGACATTAAAAAGTTAGAACGCGTGTCAAGTCTAATGCAAATAAAATACAAACTGATAAAAACAATAAAAAACGGCCAATTGGTGAGATGTGCATCAAAACAAGTGAACACCAAAGCGAGCCGTGCTTTAGGTGAATCCAAGAAAATTGGCCACTGTGCTGGCTATTCCAGGAGTCAGCCATTTGTTTTCGAGCACTTGTGCGGCTTTGGGGCGGTGGGAGGCACGCGACTGCAGCATCGCCTCAATCAATCCACGGCACTCGCCTGGCAGCTGCACTCTATAGTGAATGTCAGGCATCACCGGCCTGACGCCATTCAGCATTTCATAGAGACTGACCCCCATTGCGTAAACGTCCACAGCCTTTGAGTCGTATGGACGACCGGCGGTCAGCTCGGGCGCCATGTACCCAGAAGTGCCGCAAATTGAGTTGCGCATCATCTCAGTGAGCACAGTGTGCGTTTGAGTGGCAGAAACGGCAAAGCCTATAGTCGAATGTGTATGATTATCTAAATATCTAAATAATGCGACCATTGCACTGCATTAGAACGTACCAAAGTCGCTGATCACCGGTCGGTCATCTTCGAGGAAGAGGAGAAAGTTTTCTAACTTCAAGTCGCGATGAGCAATATTTTGTGAGTGCATGTAAGCTAGGCCGTCCATTAACGGGCGGAAATACTTGCGAGTTTCTTCTTCACTGTACGCCTCCTTCTGTCTAGTCATTTTTGCGCCCAGGTCGCCACCATCAGCCAGTTTCATTACGATATATCCATTACGCTGGGTTTTGAACACCTCATAAGTTGTGATGATGTTCTTGTGTTGGAGGTTCTTTGCTATGAGCATTTCTCGCTTGAGACAGTTGATGATCCAGCTTTGATGACTTTCATCAGTAAGGTCAAAAACCTTGATCGCTACCAGTTCCCCTAACTCCATAGAGCGAGTGCACTTTTTTGCACGCCCTTTGTAGACACTGTTTGAACAAAGAAATTTGAGTAAGAAGAAAAGAAATTCACTGAGCACTCACATTGCAAAACCACCCTGACCCAGTTCTTTGATGACGTGATAGNGATGATGTTCTTGTGTTGGAGGTTCTTTGCTATGAGCATTTCTCGCTTGAGACAGTTGATGATCCAGCTTTGATGACTTTCATCAGTAAGGTCAAAAACCTTGATCGCTACCAGTTCCCCTAACTCCATAGAGCGAGTGCACTTTTTTGCACGCCCTTTGTAGACACTGTTTGAACAAAGAAATTTGGGTAAGAAGAAAAGAAATTCACTGAGCACTCACATTGCAAAACCACCCTGACCCAGTTCTTTGATGACGTGGTAACCACGATTCTCCAAAAAACTTTTTGGATCCTGAATGCCTCTTGTCGAGACGGTAGAGAGTGCTGGCAAATCTTTGGTGGTCATCATGCTTATTTTTGAGCCGACAGTGTCGATGCTCTGTCTGCTGCGTCGTTGAGTGAGAGCAGTGCCACTGCCACTAGCAGCATTGTCTCGGTTCCTTGAAGTTGAGCCATGCTTCGTTACGACAAACTTGGACTTGCTCACCTTCTTTGGCGAATTGCTGTTGGGCATTCTTGAAAAGCAGTAATACAAGTTATGATTGTAGTGGAAAACAACGGTAAGCTCAACCGCAAAAAATGAATATTTTAGCTAAGCCACAGCACTTTAATTATTCTTATTTTATTCGAAATTATTGCATTATCACAAAATAAGAATTTAGAGCATTAAATTAGTTTTTTAATTAATTA